CAAGTAATATATCATAACCATATAATTCAAAACAATGTTTATCATTAATCATTATTTTTTGAACACTTTGAACACTTTTTATAAATATATCATCCATTTGTCTAAACATTAAATCAACCTATAACAAAAGAAAATTAGATTATCAATGAAAAAAAAGATAATTTTAATGTATATACAGTATCTTGTCCATGTTTAGCTATTAGAAATTGTCGAACACGACCCATAGACCATTTATAACCTGAAATAATAGAATAAAAATAGATGATATTTGAAATATATAGAAAATCAAAAATTTTTCATACCTTTATCAGGATCATAATTAGGTGCATTTTTTTGAATAGCATTATTAGTAATATGAACATCTTAACAGATAGATAGATAGTATTTTGATATTTTTTGGTTTTCTAATTATGAAAATACTTACAAGTATCTTCAATACTTTCAGATGTATAACGAGTACCGGATAAACGTGCAAAACCTTCACGATAAAGCCACATTCGTAATGGATTATACTGTAAAAGAATGTTAAAATTATAATTTATATGAATAATACAAGATAGACTTACCGATGTTACTAATGTATATATTCGAATATCAAATTTTTTCCCACCAATCAAATATGGATTATCAAGATAACGTTGTACCTATATGAAAAATCTATTGGTTTTTTATAGTTAATTATTAAAATATAATATCTTACAACATATGTTTCAACAGCTTCACGATTTTGTTCTTTATCATAAGCTGTCATATATTCTCCCTAAAATAAGATAAATAATATATAAAGAAAAAACTGTGTTTTTACTTTTCTCCAAGCTGTTATATCTTGAAGTTTACGAAAGAGAAAAATTCCTTTTCCTTGTGCACGTGCTGCTGGTTTCATAATCCAGGTTGTATCGGGATATTTTTTAAATTCTTCAACAAATAGATGATATTCTGACTAAATTGAAATTTTAAATTATTACTTTTCAATATTCAATTAATCAAACATACTGGAAGTACATATGTTGTTGGAAAAAAGTCACATTTAAGTGCTTCGGAACGACCTTGCTCTCGTTCAACTTGTTTACGAAAGCGTTTTAAATTTTTCACCATCAAATCTTTACGAGTTAACTTTAAATATTAGAAAAATACAAATAAATATCATTTTTAATAAAATATATATATTAATCTACCTCATAATGATTTCGAAAATGATTAATACGCATATGTTCTTCAAAATAACCACGATCAAAAAGTTCTTTCATTGAACCCACATCACACCACTAATAGAATCAATAATTATCTTTTACTTTTTTATTTTCTCTATATTAACTTACATAAAAATCCCATTCTTCATCTCTAAAAATAATTTCTATTGAAACTCTTTTGAAATTATACTAATTAAATACTTACTCTCGTGCTTCTAACCATCCACGATTTCTAAGAACATCATGTATTGTATTTTGTAAAAAAGAACGAAAACGAATTGGTCGATCACTAAACAAATAAATAACAAATACTTATTTTCTCTTTGATTTTAAAGGATATAAATCTGAGATTCCCTTTAATAGCATGAGAGTGAGTGTGAACCTCATCTTCAGCTCATACCCACGCCCTCAAGATTAATCTTACTATATCCATAAAAGCAGAGATGGAGTTGGAGTTGCTTACCCTCGGAGTTGTCCATCTCTGCATGAAAGTGTTATTTTTCGAGTACAATCGAATTCGCACATTATCACCAAATGTAAACAGTATAAGAAAAATTCAAAGTTGGCAAATAGTTTTCGACTCCGGAAATGTCCAGCCTTATTTAATAACTAGAATAATCTATCTTAAAAAACAACTGAATTTGCCTCGAACTTTCGTTAAAATTTCGACTACAGAGAATTTTAGATGATATCGATTATATGAACTCATTGTAGAAGCTTCTGAGATACATTTTTTCATATTCTGAAAATATTTAAACCTGATCTAACATACGTTATGCCTCGACGACGTTCCATACGTCCTAGAAATGGTTTTGTAGTTACAGGTTTAGCAGCCATATAAATTTGTTTTTAACAAAATATGATTAATTTATCCGGTATTTAATCTAAACAAAAAGAAACAGGAACAATTTGAATAATGAATTATTTCAAGATATTAGTTAAACTAAAACTAAGAAATATGAAAAGGATAAAAAAAAGAGTTGACAATATATATTTAAAAAAAAACACACTATAAAATCAAAAGTTTTTATAAATACAAAAAACATGAGATTTATTTTATACATTTTAAGCTGATAGTTGTACTTTTGCTGTTTGTAATTCTTGCTTAACAGAATCAATCATTATTTGAAACCTAAAGTAAAAATAAAAATTAATCTAATGCATATGAAGTTTGTCACATAGATAAAAACAAATTATCAATCAAAATTGTTATATATGACACAATACAAACATATTTGAATACTTTATTCTATAGTGAAAATATTTTTAGCATTTGGTGAATTTGTTAAGAAAATATTTTTGTATAGATTGTGATTTAATTTAATCTCTGTGAAATTATTGACTTTATCATTTATTGAATATTGATCAGTCTATGAATTTTCTCAAGCTCAATTTAGTAGAATATATATATATATATTCGTTAAACTGTATTAATACTCGTTACTTGTGCATAATCACATAATAGCTATTGAACAAAGTAAAGAGAGATTCTTTACTTGATAGCTATTGGAAGAGTATTAGCCATGGCGAATAAACCACGAAATTCTATGTAGATTTTTGTGTCATTGAAGACTTTTATCATGTGTGCTGTTTCTGTGATATATATATATTTTTTATTTTTTGTACGGGTTTTATTACTTCGTCTTATACTTTGAAATGAATTCACACCACGTGAAATTCACATTATACTCTTTCAGTATTTCAATAGATGTAAATGAAGATTTGCCATAAAATATAACCAAACATATCAATGTAAAAGTCTAATAAGGAATTGATACTGAATATTTAAATTCGAATTGAAAGTAAATGATTAGTTTAAGAAAACACGCATATAATTCTAATAAAATGAAGAATATAGATTATCTTACTGTCGATAGCGATCATCAATATGACCTCTTTGATCCTAAATAAAATTTCAATAAATTTATAGAATCTTTAATATAATAAGAAACAAACTTCAGTTAATAAACGATGTTTATTATAGTCAAGTTGAATACCAAACTGTGTATATTCATTTGTTGTATCAAAAATATGTTGTTGAAAATCTTGATGATTATTTGTTATTTTATTAATAATAGCTTCTCGTTTAGCTAATTCAGATGCAAAATATGTTCGATCTGATTCACAATCATGTAATGTAGTATTTAGATCTTGACGAAGTTTATTTTCTTGTTCTCGATGAATTTCTAATTCTTGTTTAAACCAAGCAAGATGAGCTTTAAGTTTACTTAACCAAATGTCAATATTATCACGAGGAATTATTGCATGTTCAATAATAAATGGTTGAGTAGAATCATGTGATAAACATTTTGTACAATAGACAATCTCATTGTAAACACTTTGAAGAGAATTCTAAATAGATAATAATCTTAGATTTTTAAATTAATAAAAATAATTTTATTTTTTACTTGATAATGATCATCTTTTTTTAGATTTTCATTTCTTTGATTTGTTAATTCAACAGTCAATTTATTAATTCTATAAAGAAATAGAAAATTTATTCTATTAGAAAAGAAAATGTTTTTATCATACTTGGATTCTAACTCAGTGACCGATCGTGACTAAAACAAAAAATGTTGAAATAGAAATTCATTCATAGAGGAAAAAAAGTCGCCGAATAAGTCACATCTACGTGAAATAATTAGGAATAAAAATTCGATCGAGCATAGTCATTATAGTATTATCGTCTGGATTGTGCAGAAAATATCGAAGTATGTTATTAGAGATGTAAGCCGATTTGTCGATCGGCGGCAACTGCTTAAAATTTATGATGGCTGTTTTTTTTTTTGAATTTTTGAAAAATAGAGAAAATGGTGGTAGGAAGCTTACTGCTTAGAAATCGAACAAGGATCCATTTTTGTGTCTCAACGGCAGCGGTAGTTTGTGTCTATATGTTATTTATCAATGCAACTAAGGGAATCTCATACTTATCAAATAATCAGATAAACAAAAATATTTAGAAATTTTTCGTACTTTATCATGAATATCTCTTGATAATGTTTCAATTGTATGTTGTCCTTGAATTGATTCATCTTCATATTTTGCTGATTTATCTTGAAGTCTTTCAATTTCTTTTTTATGTTCTATTTCATATCTTTGTAAAGTCATAATTCGAGTTCTTTCGTCCGATAATTGTACCTAAAATAAATTTGTATTTTAAATTTATTATCTAGAGAATTATGGTAAGAACAAACTTTTATTTCGTGATATTCATTTTCAATTGCGAGTAATCTAGTTTTTTCTTTTAATAATGATTCTTTTTCAAATTGAATTTCTTTGAGTTTTAGTAATAAATCCTAACAGAAAAAAACAGAACGAAATAAATAGATATAATGAAATAGAATTTCAAACTTTTCGTTCTTTGTCAAGTTCATGAATTTGTTGTTGTAATTGTGAACGAGATAAATTTATTTTTTCTATATCTTGCTGAAAGAAAAGAATTTGTTTTAAAAAGAAATTTTAATAGAAATATCTCAAACTTCATATTGTTTTAATTTTGATTCAGAATTATTTCGTTGATGCATTTCTTCTTGTAATAATTGTTGAAGCTCGTGTTTGTCTTTATCAATTTGAATAAGACGTTGTCGTTGAATCGATATTTGACTTGAAAGCTTTTTAAAAAAAACAGAAAGAGTGTTTCTATATTTGTAAATTTTCTTCTATCTGATCGAATGGAAATATAAAATCTTACTCTCTGCGATATTTATTTCATATTTAGACTAAGGAAAACATGAGAGTTATGAAAATTATAATGTAGTCACATTTCTGCTAGTGAATGCCTGTTAGTTCTTGATTTTTTATTATTTAATCAAAGAAAATGTATGCATAGTGAATGTGTATCGCAGGATGTGCATATGTAGTGTGTGTCTAAGAGGCACAGACATTAAACATAGTGAGCATTGTACAGCAACAATTCAATTGTTTATTTACATTGTACAAGGTAATGGTGACATGCCGACTGAGACATCATCCAAGTTCATCAAGGCAATGGAGAATCTCAAGTGATCACACTTATTAATCGCTATTCAACATGTATTACTACATTCTTAAATAGATTGTAAAGAATGAAAGCAAACAATGATGAATGATTTTTTTCAGTAAACAGTAGGCACTATCCATTTCAAAATAAAAGACAGGTGGGCATTTTTCGAAAGGAACACGATGTAGAGCTGCAATTTTCATCAGTGGAAAGATCCATCAAAACTTATCGAGAAAGATTTCTCTACTAAGAGTTGTAGTCAGACATTTCCAAAAAATTTTGAGAGATATTCTGTTTTTCTAAAAGCTTTCTATGTCAGTTACTGAAATAAGAAAAATATTTCTTACCTCATTTACTGATTTTTTTAATGTTGCAATTTCTCCTTTTTGAGATAAACAAATTGCTTGAAACTAAATAATACATTAAATATTCTTTGATTAAACAAGTTTTTTCTTACATCAGTATCATTTCGTTTAAATTGTTCTTCTAATCGATTATAATTTATCTAAAATAAATAATTTATAAAAAAGTTTTTAACAAGATTTTTACAAACATTTGAATCATTTAAATCAGTTTCAATTTTCATAATTTGTTCTTTTAATGTTAAATTTTGTAATTTATAACTATCGATTTCTTTAATTAATTGTTCATTTTTTTCTGACATATGTGTTGAATCAAGTTTATAACGTTCAATATCTTTATCAAGTTTTTGTGTACGAGCTTTCCATCTGAATTAACGGAAAACATAATGAATTAAAATAAGAAAAAGAAAATTTGTTAACTGTTTAATTGTTTCTTGTGCTTGTATTTGAAATTCTTCTCGTTTTTGTTCTGAATCTGCTAATTGTTTTTGAGAATTTAATGATTCTTGTGCAAATCGTTCAGCTTGATCGGTCATTTCTTCTAATCTTTCTAATGCTAATGTTAAATCTTGTTGTAATTTAAAATTTTGTCGTTCAAATGTATCACAATTTTCTGTTACTTCTTTTAATTCTACTAAAGTTTTTGATATAATCTTCTCTTTCTGATCACATGTTTTCATTAATGACTAAATTTGAATTATGAAATAATTGAATTCAAAAAATCGAGGATATCTACTTCGACTTGATCAGATAATTGTTCACGTTGTCGTTCATTTTTAGCAAGTTCATTTTTAAAATAAAGCATTTCATTCAATGTTGTTGATTTTGAAAGTTTACTTTGTTGTTGAATTAAATATTCATTTTCAAGATGAACATGATTGCCTTCTATTATATAAATTAAAAAAATAATTAATTAGATCACACATTTTAAAGAAAAAAAATTCAAGATTTCTGTTATGTGTAAGTAGATATTAGAATCTATATTGCTACACTCGTATTAATAACCGAACCTGTTTTTCGTTGTCGATTTAATAAAGATAATATCTCTTCTTCTTTTTGTGTTGATCTCTCACGTTTTATTTCATGTCTCATTAATTCATCTTTAAATTGCATTACCTAAACAATATATATATATGTGTATATGTATACAGAAAAATCTAACAGGATTAGGATTAAACTAAATTCTACTTGAAAATATCACATACATTTTCTCGAATTGATTTAGCACACTCGCGTAGAGAAGTAGAATTCTAGAAATATGTTCAATTGACTTTATAGTCATATGAAGAGATATATTACATACTTGTTGTGTTAATAAAATTTTTTTCATTGGACTTTCTCCTGATTGATATTCATACTAAATATTATAAAGATATTTATTAATCATGTCAAGATATAGTACGTACTGATGAAGTTTTATCATCATTATTATTATATACGATTGATTTGTGTTGCTGTTGTCCTTCTCTATTTCGTTTTAATTCACGTTCAATGTCTAATAAACGACGATCAAAACGTGATTGAACAACCTAAGAAAAAGAATTAATTAATTCGCGTTTTTATTTTATAAGATTTTACATGTACTAAATCTACATATCATATTTTATCTTTTGTTCAATTTGAATATGTCATATACTTCGCTAGCAAATGAACAAATTCGATATCGAATGTTTGTTTCGTAATAATATCCTACATCTTCAGCTTCTCTAAAAAATAACTTCCTGATATTGAGAAACTATAAATATTCTAATGTACGTCTTCTTTAAATTATCGAGTTTATGAAAAGACATACGCGTATATAATGTCATAATACTTTGAGTAATAAAAAAAGAGAATTTTTTTGATCTAATTTATTAGAAAAGTTTAATATGATGATGATACTGTTCTATTATATCATACAAATATGAGGAGAATTGACGTCATGGCATTTAGATGGTGTCTCAAGAGTGAACGTTTTATGTGAAGATATTTTGCCTCAATCTATTGTCTTAGCGCACCACTATCAATGCTTTTATATTGAGAAGTTTTAATTGTACAAAAACGTTATACTCGTTTAAAACTAACCTTTTCTATAAGTGAATCAGGTTTCGATGGAAGTATTTTATCATTTGTATCTCTGCCAATTGAAAATATAAAACATATATATGATTTATTCTGATAAAATCTTACAATTGTGCTTTTGTTATTGTTTTTGTAAGATCATATCTCACTTTTCCCTGATCATTTGTAAATGTTGAATGTCCATTAGCATGATCTGTATTTTTTTGTACTGTTGATAGTCTATCATTATTTCTCAACTAGAATATTTTTTTTAAAATAAGAAATTCTTTTCAAAAAAAAACAACCAATATTACTGTATCTACTAAAAATCTTGTTTGTTTAAATGATTTAAAATTTTGTTGAGCATTTCGTATATCATTTTCTGCATTCTAAATTATATAAAAAAGAAAATATATAGAATTTTTTGCTTTAAAATAAAAAAAAGAATTTGATTTTACAATTAATGCTGCATTTACTTGTCGAATTTTTTCATTATTAAGATTTGGTAATTGTCGTTTAGATGTTAAACTCATTTTAGCTGTTTTATTTCAATCACTTCGTCATATTCTTGATTACACTCTAGCGTTACTAAGATATGTTCTTCATTTCTTCGATTAAAATTGTTTTAAAATGAAAAATTTTAAACGAAAAAATCTATTTTTTGTTTATTTTTCATAAAAATTTCAAGAGAATAATTGAATTATTTCAGATAGATGTCATTTAGTCTTTAATCTGATTGGCTTTTAAATCCAGACGAAAAGCAAGCAAAACGTTTATTCCAAAAAAAGAATGTAAGGAAGTTAAGAACAAAAACGTATGTTTGCTCATTGTTTATCAAGAAGAAAAAAAAACAGAAGAAAAAAAGAAACTGACATTATTAAAATTCCTTATTTTCTCTTTTTTTTCTCTCCAGATAAATGGATGAAGAACCTTTAACAAATACATCAAGATATCTACTTACTGATAAACAAAATAGTCCAAGACCTTTACTTGAATGTTTAGATATTCGATCAACATATAAACAAAGAAAAAAAAACTAAAATATTTGAACGAGTTAATTCAAGTAAAACAATTCTTTTTTTTATTAAATAAATTCCAAAAAAAAAGGATTCTTTATTATTAGCACGAACAAATGATGAGAGTATTGATGCTTCACCTGGAAAAGTATATTATTATAAATATTTGATCTTTTTTTTTGTTATTTATTATTTAAATATTTAGACGGAAATTGGTCGATCAACAATTGATATTCGTGAACCAACATCTGAACATTTGACTGCATTACAAAATGCTTTTAATAAAATTCTCAATGAACGTTTATTGTCAGATAATAGTTATAAATTACGTCAAATTGTTTATAATAAACTACGACAAATTATTCTTACAGCACAATCAGGTAGAATTTTTCTAATCTTAGACAAGAATAAATTAATTTTTCTAAATAGATTGTCAAATAAATTTATATGGTTCATTATTATTTGAATGTTGTTTGGAAAAACCCGGTATAATGGATATTGATATACGATTTAAACAAACACTTCAATATGATACACTTAAAGAATTACTTGAAATATTAACTAAAAGTGGTAAGTTAGTTGATTTAATATTAATCAAAATATTTTTTTGTTTCTCGAAAGATTTATGTAAAGAAGCTCGTATTGATACTGAACATAAACCATCTTGTATTGATATGATTATTAATGAACCAAATATGCGTGTACGAATCACATCGGGTTATAATCGTGGAATAAATTTATCAAAATTAATTCGAATCTATACAAAATTTGATTCACGTCTAATAAAATTACTTCGATTATTTCGAATACTCGCAAAAGTTTGTTTCGAATTTTTTTACAAAACTAATTATTAATTCTTTTTTCGTCTAGACATGTAATATAGATAAACCAGATTTAGGTACACTTCATCCAATTGTCTTTCATGTAATGGTTATTCATTTTCTTCAACAAGTTGATCCACCTATTTTACCATGTCTACATGAATATGTAATATATTTCGAAAATTTATTTATTTGATTTTATTTAATATTAAAATAGGTATATGGAATTGATCATGTCCCAATAACATTGAATGAAAATCAATATCCGGAATTTTTTCGTATTTCAAATGAATACTCACGAGAATGGAAATCAGATAATAAAACAAATATTGAAATGCTATTTTTACAATTACTCTCATATTATATTAAAACATTTAATACAAAACAATTTATTGTTTCAATTCAAACACGAATGCCTATTGTTAAAATTGATAAAAATTGGCATAGTAGAAAATTACTTGTTGAAGGTATATCCTAAAGTTTTTAAATATAATATTAACTAATTATTTAAATTAGTCATGTTTATGCTATGCTTGTTTGAATAGTAAATGTAACAACTATAAATAATTACGAGTCGCAAATTTAAATAAATAACAAAAAATTTCTTCCTAGTAACTGTAGAAAATATTCGGTTTCTCTTAATGCAAATTACGCACGTTTTTGTTTTCGAAAGAAAATCATTATTTACTATTAATGAGTTAGGTGGCGTGATTTTTCGATATACTAAGTTTCATAGGTTAGGAAGTACATGATTTATCAAAGGGGGCGAGTCATGGCGAAATTGTCGGAACTAAGGTAATAAATGACTTAACGCTCTCGGATAATAAATAACAAAGAAATATCATTTATGAGTCTGTAAACTCGATCACTAATCAGATTTTTAATTTTAATTATTTAATAAATAGATCCAAGTGATATCAAACGAAGTTTATGTCAAACAATGCAAGCTTCACGATCATTAAATTATTTTCGTGATACATTAAATACTGCTTTAAATTATTTTGGTCGCAAACAAAAAAAAATGAAAAAATCTCAATTGAATTCCAATGATAATAATGAAGATGATTTTATTGAAATAATTGTTGAAGATGAAAACGAAATTCCAATAATAGCATCAACAAATGCATTACATTGTTCATATGAATTATTTTATAAACGTTTATCACCAACAATTCTACGTGATATAAATATTCGTCAACATCGTGTACGTGATTATTATAAAAAAACATTTGAAAACAAATTACCTGAACCAATAATTAAATTAAATTCTTTAATAGATCAACAAATTGATAATATAAATGATAATGAAATTGAAGAAGCATTTCAACATGATCTTGAACATAATTTTGAAACTATGGATGCAAATGACGATGAAGAACAAAATATTTTATTAGATAAAATTACAATAAATAATGATTATGATGAGAATTTAAATACAGATTTCAATGAAATTCATATTGAGAATGATTTTGATCCGAAACAAGCAGTGTAAGTTCTACAGTTGGAAACTATTCTATCTTTTTCTTCTCGATAATAATAAACAATACAACTGACAATGTACCTATACCTATGATAATGTTTAACTCATTTTTTCTAAACGAGTAACATGTTTCAATAGGAGTCTATTATGATTGGATATTTAACAAGGTGACACTAATCATCATAAGAACGTCTTATATAAGAATAGTTTACATTTATCTTAATCACAAAAACAAACACTTGACATTACTTAAATACGAATTTATTTTCTTATTTTGTTTCAGTCGACAATTATTTTTAACTACTAATGAAGAAGAAAAATCGAATGAATGCAATCTTTCATCATCAATTACATTAGATAACGAACAAGGTATTGAAACTATTTATGATAATAAATCTTCTAATAAAAGTGGTGATGGATATAAATTTCATATTGATAAACTTCTACAGAATCTCAATAAAAAACAGAGACGCATCTTACTTCGAGAGTATGAACGGCAAGGTAACAAATGATTGTTTCGAAAACAAATGCATTTCTTACGCTTTTGCTTTAATATAATTAATACATCAAAAGAAAACACATTGATTTCATTCTATTTAAAAACAAAAAATAATTACCTTTGGTTTTTTTCTTGTGTATATAGGTAAAATTATCAATGACAAAGTCATTGAGATTTCTGAAAATTTTCAATCATCATCATCGAAAGATAATGTCGATAGTCCAATAGAAGAAAACATTAATAATTCATCTATTGTATCATCACCAATAAAAGATGAACAACCGATATCTTCAGATAATCCATCTTCGGAATTTTTCTACGATTTTCAAGCTGAAAATTTTCATGCTGAACAAGTATGATTTTATCTATTTTTTTATTTTCAAAAACAAAAATCTTTATTTTATCAGGGTGCACCATTTGTTTGTACAATATGCAATGGTGTCGGTCATTTAAAATCTGCATGTCCAGATTTAATTGTGCCAAATATGATTGATTTACCTGCAATAAGTCAAGAATGGATTAATATTCTTTCAAAATTATGTTCTCATATAACCGGTAATTTTAATATATATATATATATATATATATTTTATTTTTTAACTGATAAAATTTAGAACAATGTAAACCAACATATAATGATATAGAAAATCGTGAAAAAATTTTGAGGTTATTACAAAAACAATTTGAAAAAGATTATCCAGATTGTAATTTACATGCATTTGGATCATTTTATAATGGATTTGGTTTTCGACAAAGTGATCTTGATGTTTGTATTGTTTTTAAAGATCAAAGAGAAGAAAATGTTTGTAATTCTAACAAAAAAAACAATAAAATTATTAAATTTCTTTATTTATCTATTAGACTGATGAAGTTATTCAAATCATGAGAAAAATACTTAAATCGTTGAGATCAAATGCTGAAACATTCGAAAATGTACAACCAGTATTTCATGCAAAAGTACCAATTATACGTTCAAGACATCGACAATTACATATTGATATTGATATTAGTCTTCATAATATGCTTGTAAGTAAGATTTTATTTATTTAAGATAAGAGTTTTTCGAAGAAAAATATGTCATTTATCTTTGAGGAATCTACAAAAACTTTCTTTCATTTAAGGCTATTGAAAATACACGATTATTAAGAACATATACGGAAATTGATTCATGTGTATCTCAACTTGGTTATATGGTAAAACATTTAACAAAATTATGTGGTATAGCTGATGCAAGTCGTGGTACATTATCAAGTTATGCATATATAATAATGGTTATTCATTTTCTTCAACAAATTCAACCACCTGTTTTACCTGTTCTACAAGAAGTTTGTTATTTTGTTCTATGAAGTATTTATTTATTTTTGTTTTACTTTAATATTTAGCTGAGTGATGATCCAATAACGAAAGATTTAATGTATAGAAAATGTTCAATATGGAATGTATATTTTTATGATAATTTAGTTAAACTTGTTAGTAGAAACAAAAAATAAAGTTTTGAAATTTTATTAAAATAAAATTTTAATTTTAGAATAATTTATGGAAAAATGAAAATAAATTATCAGTTGGTGCATTATGGATTGAATTTTTACGTTTTTATACTGAACAATTTAATTATGATGAACATATTGTTACTATACGACAGAAAATACCATTATTAAAATATGAAAAAGGATGGTTTAGACAAACAATATCTATTGAAGATCCATTTGAATTAAGTCATAATTTAGCCGGTGGTTTATCTGTTCGAAGTATAAAAAAAAGAAAAATATTTCTTATTATTATAATAATAATTATTGATATTTATTTGATTTAGATTGGACAAGTATCCGTCGAGTATTTATTCGTGCACGACAACAATTTGGTTTACAACCAAAAGATATTGATCTATCAATGCCAGATATGCAATTTATTGAAGTAATTTAAATTAAGAAATTAATTTTTTTTTGAGTTTTGTATTAAATAGATAAGTCTATTCAATATTAATGATCCGTATTCAACAAATGCTCCAAAACGATGTCCTGAATGTAAAGGACCATATCATATTCGTAAACGTTGCCCAAAATTAATCACATTAGCAGATGAAAAAGAAAAATTAAAACGAATGGCTATATCCGAACAACAACAACAACAACAACAACAACAATACGTATTAATGAATAATCATTATCCAATATATTTCAATAATTCTCCAAATAATAATTCTCAATTTTCTGTAAATTCACAATATTATTATCCAATACATGGATATCAATATCCCTTTCAAGTCATACCTCAACAACGTATTTGGACACAACCATATTCAAATGAAAGACCAATTGTTTATCAAAATTTTAATTATTATTCTAATGATCAACAACAACAACAACAAATAAATAATTCGAATCGAATAAATTATTCAAATAATCCACGAAAAAAATGTTATGTATGTGGAAGTTCAAATCATTTAAAAGCTCAATGTTCACAAATTCAAACAAATACGATTCAACGATAGAATGTTTTCATATTTTGTGTTTTTTTTGTTCTGTATAGAAATTTGCGATATTTAATTTTCGTCTTATTATTGTCTCTATATGTTATTATTATTATTATTATTATTTTCTTCTTGTGTTCTATATGAGAGACTTTTTTTTAAAAAAAAATTCGCTCATATCCTTCATGGATTCTTTATTATTGACTCCGTAAAAACAAACTTTTGTCTTTTGTTTTCTTTAAGTAGATACGATGATGGATACAGCTGTTAAACAACAAACAGATTCTACTGAACCAAAAGTAACAACAGCTGAACGACAAGCGTTACTAAATAGATTGTATGATTTTTATTTAAAAGTCATGTGAAAAATGTTTTTGTTTGTTTTTGCCTTCAGAACTTTAAAATGGCCATCAGAATTATCAAAACAAATTGAAAATCAAGCTTTCGAAAGATCACATGGAAAAAAAGTACTTTAAAAAAAAGACAATGACTTATTTATCTATTTATATTTTATAGCCTGATTATTTTAAAATAATTCAAGCTTGCTTTCAAAAAGTTCAAAGTAAGTTGAACTTCGATATCGAGTTATATCTGAATAGAAAAAGAGTTTTTTTGATCTTAGCCTACAGCTATTTAATACTAGACTACTTCTTATTAAAATCTACTTATTTTAGTTGCAATGCAAAACCGTGTAAATCCGCAGCAGCAGCAACAACAACAACAACAACAACAACAACAGTCGCAACAAAATAACAATATGCACGTACAAAATTCTCAGACAAATCTTTCTCAACAAATATCCGCTCCTATTGTTATTCAAAATCAATATTCATTTAATCAAATGCCTAATCAACAAGCTCGATTTCCTATTGCTCAACAAACACCACGGATGAATAATCCTCAAGCAGCTGCTATGAATCAAATGGCACGTTTACGTGAACCACAAAAATTTAATCAAAGTAATTATTTTATTCTTTATTATTTTTTTTTTCTTAAAAACTCTTTTCTATAGCGCCTATAAATACTTTAACTTATTCACAATCTTCAGTACCATCGACAACAACAATTGATTTAACACAAAATTTACCATCGCAACAATTGAATGTTGCTAACCAAAATGATTATTCAACACTTCAACAACGTTATCCTAATCAATCAACAATGAGTGTACCAAGACAACGAACAATTGTTCCAAATAGTAAATAATATTCATTCATTGATTCATTTATTATCTTTTTTTTTGTAATTTTTCTTAGATAATTTTCAACAACAACCATTGACAAATAATGGAAATGATGGTTTTCATCAAATTGTTGTTGGAAGTCCATTATCAGTACCTTCGACAGCAGCAACGGCAGGTAATACAAATATCTCCTCAAATGGTGATCAATGTAAGTTATGATCTATTGAAATATGAAAAATAAATTTCTTATTTAATCAAATATCTATGATAGTATTACAACGAATACTCTTATCAAATATTGATGGCGGGACGAATAAATCTTCAACACTAAGTCGACATCCAACTGCACCGGTTATGGTACGCTATTCAATTATTTTATAAATTTACTTTACCATATAAACCTTTTTCTATTGTGATGTAGTCTCAATCAACTCGACCAGTTAATACGATGAACAGTAATATGAATAACAGTACAAATCCTCTTCGATCAACATTATCATCTAACCAATTATCACCTTCACCACCAGTTGTTATAATACCAACACCAGGTCAAACATCCATTGTTCAAATTCAACCGTAAGATTAGATTTATTTTTCAAAATTATTGATTTATTTTCTTGTAAAGATCAAGTAATCTAACTGCTCAACAAAGTCCTTTAAGTAACAGTAATGGCCCATTTTCAGTCAATTCACAAGCATTATCAACAAATAGTTCAACACCAGTAACTATTCTTCATACATCACCAACAAATCGTGTACTGCCATTACCAGGTATATATATATATAATAAAGGTCATGTTAATGTTGTAATACTATTTATATTTCACTTATAGTAACTGGCAATGTTTTAAGTCCTGACGAAGAAACATTAAATTTAATAAAATATCTTAAAGAAAATGTTAATCGATTACAATTATTATCTCAAAAATTTAACAATGAAGGTAACATAAACTTTAGAAATCTTTTTATTCATATATAAATATATATGTTTTATCATAGGTAATACTGAAAAAGTTCGTCAAGTTCAATCTATTCATCAACAAATATTACAATTTATTAATAATCCAACATATGAAAGTTTAGGAAATGCTAAAAATTTTCGTGAAATGCTTGATAAAATACCTGTAAATATTTCATTTCTATTTTATTTTCTAAATTAAATCTTATTATAAAAAAAATCTAGAATCGATTACAACAAGTTAATTCAACAAATATATTTAATCAATGTGTAAAAGCAACTAATGAATTTCTTTTACGTGATCAAAAAGAACGAATAAATGTAACAAAACGATATCTTGAACCATTAAGTGATGTTATAAATGGTGTTCCTCATAAGTAAAAATAAAAACAAGATTTTAATTAGTTTTCTTAAATAAAATTCTCTTTAAAAGAATGATACGTCTTGATGTTGATAGTTGTACAACAACAAAAATTCGTTCAATTCATCAATCATCATTATTATCATGTGTAAATGATGAAATAAATCAATTACCAAATGATATTTATTCTATTGAATGTATACCAGTAATGCGTACAAGAAAATCTACGAATCATAATGATGAGGAATATTTCAGTAAAAATGGTATTATTCTTCGTTGTAAATTACTTGAAAAATCTAATCCTATTATACCACCCCTTCGTTTATATTTAACAACATCTTATCCTGAACAATCACCAGACATTTTATCATTAACTAAAGCAATGCCACCAAAATTAGAATTTACAGGTAAACAGAAAAACATTCTCTTGATTGAATTATTTTGATATATTTAGGTGGACATCCGTATTTTGATCAAATCTCGTCAGTATTTGTTTCTCATCTCTTTAAATTACGTCCACAACATACAATAACTGATATTCTTAATATATGGGTAAGTATTAATTCATATGAATATTTTTTTTATCATGATTTTCATTTCAGCGTCTGTCCGTCCAGACAATTTTGTGAAAACAACTTGATAATATTTATTTGGTACTACTGTTTAAATATATATATATATATACATCATTGTTATAACTTGAATAAAAGCTCAAAAGAAAAATAAAATATTTAAAGACTATCTGTGAGAATATGTTATCGTTTTTATCGTTCCTTGTCTATCTTGGTATCTTTTTTTTCTTCTTTCTTTCTTTGGTTAATATTTCTTTTCTTTCTTTATGATTCCTTTCTATTTCGCTTTATGTGTTTGTGACAGTGATGGTTGCTTGTCAAGTGGAGGTAGACAGAAACGTTGTGATTCTCTTTTCTTTCCTTTTCTTTATTCTTCTTCTACACTTGTCTTTCAAAAAAA